AAAAAAAAAAAAGAAAAGAATGACAGTCAATGTAGATGGCCCTTGCATATATAAGCTCAACAAAATAAGGGGGATTGAAGCTTAAAAAAATAAACCAAGGAGTCCCCAGCAACAGACATGTGAGTTCTTATGGTTAGAGCTGGAGAGAAGTTCCAGAGATATTCAATTTGAGTATCAGATACTTTGGGATGCAGCAAAGAATGGTCCCAAGCCAGTCTTCCCAAAAGGAGAGTATGGCCGGCAAGCCAGCTGCTAGGGAAGAAGCTGGGTGGACTCACCTTGCAGGTAAAAACCCGGTTGTCATACTGGTGAGAGTATCTGCAGCGGCTGTTGGCTTCATGAGGTACTCCTTCTTTCCCATGATTCATGCTGTTCTTACATCCAGCCCTGAGTGAAGCCCAAAAGCTGACAGTGAAGCCGCCAAAAGGAGCCAGTGCCGCTTACGCTGAAGAATCTCTGACCCTGAGCCAGACCCAGGGTCAAAACCAGAGCTCCAGAATTAACCAGGCCCTGAATACTGAGCAGAGAGAGGGCAGTTTCTTTCAGAAACCCACGTGCCTCTCTCATACTTGCAATCAACATCACTACACAGGTAAAGCAACTATTACTCTTGTGTGAGGAGAAAGGGCCAAAGGAGTAATCTCTTCTTGGACAACCACCTGGTCCCTCAGTAGGAACGGAGGAGCCAGAAGACACCACCTTGACCAGATATAAAACCTGAATGGCCCTCAGGGAACTCAAAAATCCAAACAGCATGAAATGGGAAGTTTAACCAGAACAGGCTGCCAAGATGTAAAACAAAAACCCACCCTCAAAATTTGGCAGTGCATAAAAAGGAGGCTTAAGCTGAACAAGAAAACCTTCCAAATGAACAGTGAGCTCTGCTATCCTGACAACGCAAAACCAGGGACTGGGACTTTAGAATTTCACTGTGATAGAAGGAGAAGTTCTGGAAACCCTAGTGAGGCACAGTTAACATGGAAAAGTGATGATCTAACAGACCCTAAGCCTCCTGCTGGGCTCATGGGGCCCGCTAAAGGAAGGCAAGTCACACTGGCAATTACCATCCCTCCTTCCTCTCCAAGACAATGCCCAGTTCTCCGTAGCCCAGACTGTATAATCGTAGCCCAGACTGTATAATCGAAGAGCCAAGTCCTTTTTACAAACCCAGAGCCAAGGTGGTGACCCAGCAGGTGGCCTACAGGGATCAATGCAAAAAGGCCATTCATAACAAAAAAGGTTCAGGTCTCCTCTGTATGGACGAATGTGAAGGACAGGAGCAGAAGTCCTGATGAGAGCAAAGACTCTGCAGTGGTGAAGGGAGTGGAGAGCTGGGGGAGTGTCTGCAAGACAGAGTCTGCAATCTGACCCTGACACACTGCATTTAAATCCCCTGGGCTCCATCAGACAAGTCACCAGACTGCGATTGAAGAGCCATTAACGGCTCAAATTAATCCAGTGAGCCTCAAAGTGTGGTCCCCATCCAGCAACATCAGCATCACCTGGGAACGTATCAGAAGTGCAAGTTCTCAGGCCCTACATCAGACCTACTGAATCAGAAACTGGGGGCAAGGCCCAACGATCTGTTTTAACGTGTCCTTCAGGTTTTTCTGATGCATGCTAAAATCTGAGAATCACTGCTCTGTTCCCCCTGTAACAAAGTGTGACCCATGGACCAGCAGCACAGGCATCACCTGGGAGCTTGTTGGAAATGCAGAATCTCACCCAGACCAGCTGATTCAGAATCTGCATTTAACAAAATCCTGAGGTGATGCACACACGGATTAAGGTTTGAGAATACTGCCCTAACTCAGTGTTCTCAAGTGAGCTACGTATCAGAATCATCTGAGGAGCCTTTTAAATACACCAGTGCTGAGGCCCCACCCCAGATCTGTTAAATGAGAATCCCCGGAGGTGAGGCCCAGGCCTCAATGATTCTGAGCGCTCCCTGGATAATCCTAATGTGCTCTAAGTATCTGCCCTCACGGTGAAAGCAGCCAACTGGGAATAATGCCTACCCTGGTGCTTTGCACACACCGCGCTACCGAATATTAGGTGAAGGGATGGAATTACTACCATTGAAAGCTCTGGTCAGAGAAACATAGAAAAACAGGCAACCTCAAGTTTTCTGTGGTAAAAATTACGCAAACCAGTCAATTGTACATCTAAACCAGGTTGGAATCTTCAGGGGATTCCTCATAACCATGTGTCCTGGGATCCCCTGCAACCTCAAAGTATGGTCCCCAGACCATCAGGATCACCTGGGAACTTGCTAGAAGTACCCCATCTCAGCCCCCACCCCATCCTTAAATCACAATCTAATTTAACCAGACCCCACATGATCTGCATGCACAGTGAGGTCTGCGAAGCACCATTCTGAGTCTCTTTGCCCAAGATGGGGACTTACCCGCAGCTGAGGCACAGGACAGAGCAGGTGAAGTACTCATCTGGAAAAAAGGAGCTGTGTGCCATCTGGTCATCGGGGATCTCACCGCTGAAGCGGTCGCTCAGGGCCTGTGCGGAGGGAAGGTGATACATGAAGGGACACGGGGGACAGCCCAGAGCTCTGGCCCTTGTACTGCTTGCCTTTTTTTTTTTTTTTGAAATGAACTTTATTGGTTATTGTTTTCCTTTTCTTCTTTCTTTTTTTCCCCACACCGCCCAGCATGTGGAACTTGGATCAAACCCACACCCTCTGCAGTGAAAGTGCAGAGTCTTAACCACTGGACCACCAGGGAAGTCCCACTGCTTGCCTTTCTAATATGCCCTCACTGCTGGCTTATTTCTTATGGGCTCCACAGCTAGAAGAGGGAAGCCAATGACTTCTGCTCTTTACCCTAGACCTTCTTGGCCCGACTTGCACCAATCCTCACCACAGGAAACCTCAGAAAGAACCAGCCCATTTCCCACGAGGTCAGAAGTAAGCAAACAAAGTTACCGTTCTCTCCTAATTACCATGCAAGTTATAAACACCTCACACACTCTCCGTCTTTCATTCAAAACCACCAGATACTGACTAATGTCCACTTCATCTTTGTGAAGCTGGGACCAAGAAACCAACACTAAAGAAGGTGGCTTGTCTTTCAGTCAGAGGCAGGCAGAGCTGAGAAGTGAGCTGGGAGTTTCCTGGGCATCTCCACCAGTTCTAACCAAAGGTGCTCACTGGAGTTTATGAAACCACAGAACTATATGTAGAATAAGGGTTATCAGCCAAAAAGCAAGGAGGAATTATTATAGGTTCTGGCAGTCTTTTATCAACTACAGTAACCTAAAAGACAGCAAGTGGCCAGAGCTTCCCTGGTGACGCAGTGGTTGAGAGTCCGCCTGCCGATGCAGGAGACACGGGTTCGTGCCCTGGTCCGGGAAGATCCCACATGCCGCGGAGCGGCTGGGCCCGTGAACCATGGCCGCTGAGCCTGCGCGTCCGGAGCCTGTGCTCCGCAACAGGAGAGGCCACAGCAGTGAGAGGCCCGCGTACCAAAAACAAAAGACAGCAAGTGGCCAAAATAAATGCTAAGAAGAAAGATAAAAGTATTTGCAGAAACAAACTGAAAATTTTATGTTTAAAGGCAGCTTCCATTTCTAAACCTCTCTTTTCACTCACTACTTTATATTGAAAGCATTCTTCAGGCTGGTTTTTTCCTTCCAGGCCCTTACTCGTATGCAGTGGAAAAAGTTATCTAAATTAAACAGAAATGGGCTTTCCAGGCTTTAAAAATTATTAAATGCTCGCAATTCCAAGCTTCTCTCAATCCCTCATTCTGAGGCAGCCAGGCGCTATTCAGGGGAAGAGAAGGAACAGTAGCTTAAAACAAAATGTTACTTCCTTTAGTAAAAAGGCAAAAGAAATTTTAAGATGAGACTTGGAAAAGGGGCAGATTAGGTTTTAAACTAAGGTTCTCAAGCTCTAAATGGAATTTCGCTTAAGGAGAACTTATTTATTAAAGTTCCTTTCCCTTTTTTCAATGAAACCTAATACCCTGAGTTGTGAACGAAGTGTTTACAAAAGCACATGCTCTCAATGTTGAGTCAGGTCAGGTGTTCAGACAAGAGTAGCGGCAAAGAATGTGTCA